CAGAACAGTAATGAGGACCAGGCCTAGACGGCTTGTGTGGTGCCATGAGGAACAAATGGAGACTCATCTCCTTTCCCTGTTGAGGATTTAGGAAGCCTTGGGAGATTATTTGCAAGCTGGATAGACATTGAAAAAATAAATAAATAAATCCATAATTACCTTTGTGAGGTAGAAACTGGTGGTTCTGCTACTGAATTGAGACTAGGCTGCAGTGGATGAAAGCTACACACTACTTCAGAAGCCTCATGGCCTCTACTTCTGGCACCATGTGGTAAGTTTGGATTCAGCATCTAGAGACCAGAGTTAACATGGTGGAGCTTCTCCAGCCAACCAACCTTCAGCCCCTCACATCATTCTCCAGGGATCATCTCTAATCTCCCATCCCAATGTTTTTTTGCAAGGAATTGTCTCTAAATTACTACAATCACTATCAATAATATAAGAACATATGTAAGAACATGGCCTTTTTGTGTTACTATTCATCTGTACAGAGTACTGGAATATCTATTTTCCCCTGCAGCCCAGGTCAGCGATTTTGGGCTGGCACCTGCATTACTTTTATCAATATATGAGTATAGTACTGGCGCCTCATTTTTATTTTTATTTTAAAAAGTACACCCCCCCCCCAAATAAAAGCACTGCATAAGAACATAAGAGCCAGCTAGATCGGGCCAGTGGTCCACCTAGTCCAGGATCCAAACACTTCCATAATATTAGGGTGAGAAATGCCAGCTTCAGGTTGGCAAGAGACCTGGGCAAAGTGCACCAGTGCAAGTACTTGACGGCTCATCTCAAAAGTGAGAAACCTCCAGATGCTCCTGGACTACACCTCCCATCATCCCTGACCACCAGCTATGCTGGGCTGGGGCTGATGGGATTTGTAGTCCAGCAACAACCAGAGGGCACAAGGTTTCCTCACTTATCTGGTGGTGACAGCAACAAGTCAAGCTTCTAGGTCTAGCTCGGCCTTCCCCAACCTGCTGCCCTCTAGCCATGCCAGCTGGGGCCGATGGGAGTTGTAGTCCAAAACAGCAGATACCCATAGGAAGCCAGCAAGGAGGACCTGAGCATGAAAGCACTCACCCCACCAGCGATCCCCAGCAACCCACAAATATGGCCTCTGATAGTGGAGGCAGAATATGGCTACTTATATCCTCTATGAATTTGCCCAATCCTCTTTTAAAGCCATCCATATTGGTGGCCACCACTGCCTCTTGTGGGAATGGATCCCAGAGTTCAATAATGTGCCGTGCAAATAAGTCTGTCCTTTTGTTTGTTCTGAATCTTTCACTATTCGTCGGATGCTACCACTACCACTCCCTCCCTCAGCCACACGCTCCCATTTCCAGGCAAGCACCCAGCCCCCTGAACAGTTAATGGGGAGGGTTCTGCCATTAGCATTCTCACTAATAATCCCAAATACCATCCCTTGCCAGCTTGTCATTTTCATTAATGCCATTAAAGTGAGGCCTTCAACCAAGACAGGGAAGGAGGGAGCCAGGGGTGGCTGAGGGGCCCAGCAGACAGTTTTCCATTCCATTGACAGGCATTAAACTGCTTCCCAGTGACATCAAAAGGTCACCTCGGCACCAGCTGAGGACTCCATCTCCACTGTCACCACCAGCCTGTGCCTCTCCTTCCCTCCCAGCGTCTTGCACAGGTGGGGCGGAGGAGACGGAGGCCTGTCGCCCAGGTCCCCCTTTGCATCCCTAGATGGAGGATGCCTCGGAGCCGGCTAGAGCTCCATGCATCAACAAGCTGCCTCCTCATCACTCTCTCCGGGATGTTGGAGAAGCAAGCCGGCCATTGCCCCGAGCGGCTGCGTTCGGGGAGGTGTGTGGGGCTGCTGTCACATCACATCAGCATCCGAGGCCCGGCGCGGTGACTCGATTAAGTCCTTAGCCGCAGAACCAGTTTAAGGAGTCAGTGATTCACTCCACTGGCTAAGCGGGACCAATCAGAGCGCAGGTCACTGACAAGACACTGGCAACGTCTCCAAGGGATGCTGCTGCAATCTGGGGAGAAGAAGCATCGTTCAGGAAGGAAACACACACACACCCCGCCAGCTCACCACATCCCCGTTCATGTTTCAGTGTGTTGAAGTCTTATGGAGCCCTGCTGCTCTGACATCAAGCGGGATTGGGTCGAAGCCAAGGCTGGCCGAGTGGGGAAACAAAGACTTGGGTTGCAGAATAACCTAGCTGGGCTGCATTCAGATGTCACAATAAACTATATGGTGTGCATGTGCAGTGCTGAATTTACGTATAAGCTAAACAAGCTATAGCTTAGGGCCCCACTCTCTTGGGGGCCCCTAAAAATTTAAAGGGAAAAAAACTGGACGCACTTTTCCAAAATATAAGATAAAAAACAAATAAAACAGCTTTAGATACCTACTAAGTCCATAAATTACAATATAGCATATATTCAATACAAAAAACAGTGACACTTTGTTGTTGACAAAGGTCTCATCAAAGCTAAATTTGGCCCTGATGGTGTGACCAAAAGGAGACACAGACACCTAAAATCTCCTCGTAGCCATGCTAGAGGAGTGGGGAGTAGTGATGAATCCAAGATTCATTCACAACACCACAGTTTAAACAGCAGCCTCCTCTTCCTCCAGTACGGGTATGAGGAGGAGATTTGAAATACAGTGGTACCTCAGGTTACATATGCTTCAGGTTACATTTGCTTCAGGTTACAGACTCCGCTAACCCAGAAATAGTACCTCAGGTTAAGAACTTTGCTTCAGGATGACAACAGAAATTGTGCTCTGGCAGCTCGGCAGCAGCGGGAGGCCCCATTAGCTAAAGTGGTGCTTCAGGTTAAGAACAGTTTCAGGTTAAGTACGGACCTCCGGAACGAATTAAGTACTTAACCTGAGGTACCACTGTATTCACATCTATTTTTGGTTACATCAGCACCATACACAGTTAAAGCACATGGCATCCTGAGCAAGAATCCAAGGAACTGTAGTTTGTTAAGGGTGCTGGGAACTGTCACCCTGTGAGGGATAAACTACCAGAAAAAATCTGGATTCAAACATCACTAATTCAGGTGTGACTTCCAATCACCCCATTGTGGTTCCTAAATTACGTTTTCGACTACGCACTTTCCTTTGTCTCTTCTAGGTTGTTTCAGTTGTATTATTTTAGTAAAGGTCTCTTATTTTATGCAGAAGCCATGTATTTTAAACATATTTAAAATGTAACGTGTGGATGTGACCGTCAACTAACTGCAGTTATGCTTTATGTCCAAATCCTGATAAACTCTAGTTATGCTTAACTATTGTGTATTGAAGCAAACAATTTTAAATCGTGGTTCACAAAGCTTAAGGTGGTGGGGAAAACCCCACAACTTTAAAATAAATACTATCTCAAAACATAACAACAAAACTAAAGCAGCAGTTGAAACCACCGCAGGCAAACTCCCAGCATCTATTACAATGCTCAGGAAATATTTATTAAAAGCAACTTAAAAGTTGCTTTGAATCCAATTTATCAAAGATTTATAACAGCCATAGACTGATATGACACAAATAACTCAAAACATTAAATCAAAATTTCTCCAATCTCATGCTTGCTACAGTTACAAATAACTTTGCAAAAAGCTCAAGCTGTGATTTGGAGAAATAAAGCATCCAATTAACTCATTCAAGTATTTCCTTAAATCTATCAATAACTTGATATCAGCACCTGCCAGCCTCAGGCTCCTGTGAGCACCTAGATAGGCAAGCTGCCATTTTCAATTTCTTGCGACCTAAACTACATGGTGTTGTTCCAGGGAATTATGGGAAATTTTAAAAGGCAGCTCGGGTTTATGCTTTTCTGAGGTACCCCTCAAACTTGGAGCCATCCCTGCACACCAAGGGATTTTGTTTTAAAGCCTGGAAGCTATACTGCCTGTACACCAAGCATGCCAAAAGTGAGACAGTGAAGCGTACTGAACTTCTATTGTATGTTCAGCCTGGATAGCTCAGTTGGTTAGAGCATGGTGCTGATTATGCCAAGGTTGCAGGTTTGATCCCCACATGGGACAGTTACATATTGCAGGAGGATGAAGTTGATGATCCTCATGGTCCTTTCCAACTCTCTAATTCTATGATTCTTTCTGGATCCCTCTGGGTGGGACATACTGTAGGAAGTTGCCTTATACTGAGCCAGACCATTGGTTCATCTTGTTCAGTATCTTCTTTTTCAGCCAGAGGGCCACATACCCTCTTGAACAACCTTCTGAGGGCCACATGGCAGTGGTGGGTGGGGCCAGAGGTGAAACTGGGTCAAATTCCACCTGATGGCAAATTCCACCTTTGTGTCATGGTCTGGTTCATGGGCAATCAAAGTCCCAGCAGGGGACGTCAGGACAGGGGGCAAGATGGCGGGGTGGGAGCAGGAACAGGGGTCCTGAAGCCAGGAGTCAGGAAGCCAAGGGTCCGAGGGTCAGGAAACAAGGAGTCACTAAGCCAAGGGTCCGAGGATCAAGAAGCAGGGAGTCAAGAAGCCAAGGTTCAAGGATCAGGAAGCAAGAAGCCCAAGGCAGGAAGCGTGTTGCTGTGGCCAAGAGCTGAAGGGAAATGCTGACCTTATATCCCTTCCCAGTTCTTGCCACCAGGTGCTGTGAGTTACCAATCGGCCTCACCTGTGAGGCTGCGCCTTGCCTCTTCAGAACTAACTTTGGAAGGCCCCAGTCCTGCAGAGTCCTATTGGTCACAGGGCCTGACTCCTGCATGCACACCTGACACTCTGTACAACAGGCTGATTTCTGCACTCATTAACACACCCTTCTCTATTTGGCATGATCCCAGTGCAAGGACACATTCCAGCCAGGCAAAAATGCTCCGGATACAAAGCAGAGCCAGTGAGGGGTGTGGCCTGGGCAGAGGGAGGCGTGGCCTAGGGAGAGTTCCAAGGGCTGCAGCTGGTCCCCAGGCCTGAGGTCCCCCTCCCACCTTGTCTGCAGTGATTGGCAGCAATTCTCTGAGGCTTCATTTTCCCAGCCCTACCTGGAGATGCCGGAAATTGAACCCGGGACCTTCTGCATGCCAAGCAGGCGCTGTCCTGCTGAGCCACAGCCCTTCCCCAGAGCCTGATCAGGCACAGAGGGACAGGGCAAGGGAACTGGAAGCAGAGAGGAGGAGGAGGACCCACCTGAGGCATCTTGCTCAGATGTCCTGCCTCCCCAATAACCTGGAAGCATCAATGCTGCTGCAGCCTGGTCTGCTCTTTCCCCCCTTGCAGAACAGGGGATGCTGCTGCTGCAGCAGCCAGCCAGCCAATCTGCCTGCCTGCCTGCCAATCCCAAAGCGGCCAAGTGGTTTGTAATAATGATCACAGCACACAGATGAAAGGGACCATATGGTGAGAGGAAGGAAACAAACTTGTCTTTTTCTGCACCCGCCGGGCTCAACCTCTGTGGGGCTTGTCACAGTTGATTTGCACTGCCTGAGTGGCGTGGCCGTCGCCTTCTCCACAGAATCGCCTGCGCCGTGAATCGTGCCATTCTCCGGAGGGTCTGAGCTCAAGTGAGAACTGCTGAGCACCGGCACCTGTCCTGAAAGCGCCGCAGCAGCCGCATCCTTAGGATATTCTTACTTTGCACCTGTAAGACTCAAAGAAAGCCTTCCAGGTGCATTCTCTCCATGTGATGCTTACGGCAGCCTTGAAAAGCAGGCCACGGATTTCACTCATGCTCCCGTTTCTCACACAGCAAATCAGTGCCCCAGTCAGCTCCCCTCCTTATATGCACATGACTACATGGTCCTCGAGATTCTACCCTGTCTGCTGTGTGTGTGGCATTCCTCTACTTGAAATATCAAAAAAGTAAATAAAAGGGTGGTTGTTCTTCAGTGTGTTTTTAATGAACAAATGAATAAAACAAGGCATAGCTGGCTTACAATACGCTATCAGCAAAATATACTCCAGCACATGGAGCACATTAAACACTGCATGGCGCCTTACTGCCAAGGTGCTTGCATTTATGCTTCCATGCACAAGAGACACCAGGCACCATGGTTTCTCCCTTTCCCTAGAATTTAACTTCCAAAGACTAGGGATAGACAAACCTGGCAGTTTTGGTTTCTCTCAAGCTCTCCCATCTTAAATGCAGTTCTTCACATTTCCATATAGTGTAATTTTCTTTTTGAAGGCACTGTGAAAATTCGTTTTAGCACATTTTTGTGTGCACTTTTCCCTAATATGCATGTTTTTATACAAACATTATTTGCTCATATTTTGCATTTTGCCTGTAACTTTCTTGAAGGTCTGCGTTCTTATACACAGGTTCCCCTAATATACACATTTTAATGCACTATTTGGTGAGAGAACTGCATTGCAAAAATTCAGAAAAGTTCAAATTTTGAAGGATAGCTTTATTTCAGTTCACCTATTGTTTCCAGAAGTCCAAATTAGGTATGTTTACATTAAAATGTGAAGGAAGCTGAATTTCTCTCCCATCCCAACTAGAGACCCTGAGGACAGAGCTGAACCCCAAAGAATGTAGTAGCTCTAGCAAATCATACTAACAGAATTTTAACAGAGCATCCCAAAAGCCAAAGACAGAGAGAAAGGTGACACAGCAATTTACCAGGGCCAGGGTTTTACCAATCCTTCACCTGTGTCTGATCCCATGTTACATGCAAACCCTTCCCACAACAAACACTCTGTGAGGTGAGTGAGGCTGAGAGACTTCAAGGAAGTGTGACTGGCCCAAGGTCACCCAGCAGCTGCATGTGGAGGAGCGGAGACGCGAACCTGGTTCCCCAGATTACGAGACTACTGCTCTTAACCACTACACCACACAGAATTTCAAAATACCGGATGCAGAGTTATGATGTCTGACATGGATGTTGCCCTGTGTTTCAACTACCAAGGGGAATTAGCCAAGGATCACAGAGTCTCAGCGTTCAGGGGTGGGAAGTTCCCCGTGTGGCCTAACGGACCAGCTTCTGCTGAACTTCAGCAGGGCTGCAGAACCATTCCCAGGGCTTCTGGTCTTAACAGAGCATTGATCCCAACAAAACGCAGCCCTATGCATTTGTCGAAGGAGGAGGAAAACAATATGTCTGGATCATACCTCTAAGGTAGGCAAACAAGAAGAAGAAGAAGAATTGAAATCTGGTTTATGTGAGCAGGCTCCATAGTGACTCTTCTAAACAAAGAGCAAACTCCAAGCCAAGGTCACCCTACATGCACATGCTTTCCTGTTACTCAGAAGAAGGGCCAACCTCTGGCTAAACATCTCCCTTTTTTCTCGTTCTTGGCTCCACTGGTCTCCCGGCGCCTCCCCTGTAGGGAGCCTGGGAAACCCTGCAGTGCTGGATAAAAGGGAATCGAACAAGGCAGAGAGATGGGGGGTGCCAGATCCCAACAGCTCAGTCCTCCTCCTCCTCCTCCATCATCATACAGGCTGCTCTTGAAAGACGTTGACTCCCTTCTTCTTAGGATGCTTTGAAAAGTATTGGCTAAACATCACGAACCTGGCTTGCCCTTGCCTGCCTTGTTGACTGAGTTGCAGGTAGACGATGGGCATTCAGCAAAGAGAGAATGATTTGCTTGATAGACCCGGTGGAAACACTAGGAGGAGCTGAGAATTGGCTTTGGGAGAAGAACTGCCAAGGCTGGCCTTGTTCAAAGGGTTTCTTTTTGCCAGGTGCATCTCCAGATCCTATATGAAGTTATTTTGGGTGTGGGAGAGAGATAAGACTCACCAACAATGCACCTTGCGTAGAATGTACAAAAGAAGAGCTTGCTGGATCAGTTCAATGGCCCATCTAGGTCAGCATCTTGAACAACCGGATGCCTCAATGGGAACCCTGTAAGCAGGACATGTGATTCCAGCAACTGGTATGCAGAGGTTCACTACCTCTGACGTAGCCACTGTGGCTAGTAGCCATCAATAGCCTTTCTTTCCATGGATTTTACTAATCTTTTATGGCCATCCAAGTTGGTGGCCAACACTGCCTCCTGTGGCAGTGAGTTCCATAGAGAAACAGATGCTCCTAATCTTTTGTCACTACAAACTGATCTTTGGTACTTAACTACTAAATATTTTGGGATGTGGTTTGTCTGTTCACTTTGTGTTCGGACACTTCTTAATATATTTTAACTAAATTTTGCACGATGGTTGCTGAGATCATCTGTGTTTGGATACAGCTGGAGGCCATTTTGAATCAAGATGGCAGGATGCCGCTTTCAAAATTACACTGTTAATTATTATTATTTCTTTGAATTGCCAAACAACACTGGGTACAAGGCTGCTTGTACTTCCATACTAGTTGTGCAAAAGCTGTGGAGGAAATCTCATTACAAATTTCTCTTTCTGAATGCTGAGCAACAGATTTCTGTGGAAATTCATCTGCTTATTTTAGTTTTGGCTAACGCCTTCCTTCAAAAAATGTCAGTTGCTTGCTTCATTTGAAAGACTCCAGATATTTTGGCCTATACTTCCACCAGTCCATTTTTAATTTTGCTTGTGGGTTCAGTGTGTGTGCAAATATATTTTGTTGAAACTCACACTGCATTATAGGCTTTGTAGTTTTAGTTCCAAAGCAGAGTAAACTCACTATTCTTATATACATGTCTGTTTCAACTTAGGTTACTCCTGCTACTGAGGGATTTGATGAGATGATAGGAGATGATTCAGTACAAAGGGAAGTATTGTGAGACTGTATACCAAGAGCAACCACAATTTTGGAAAGAGGGTTTGCAAATGCTGCAAGAGCAATTTTCAGTTCAAATTACATTTTTACAGATTTTAGCAGCAGGCACGCCCCTGACCCTCACCCAAATTCTTGCTTAACCAATCCTCTCTTCCTGCCACCATCACACAGCTCCTTGCTTCGCTTCTATGTCTGATGTTTAAAGATGCTGAAGAGGCAGATTCAACAGGATTCATATAGTCGCTCTTGGCCCTGGTCCCTGTTGATTTGTGTGCCCTGGCGGAAAACCTTTTTCATCTCAAGTTTCCTTCTGAGCTGCCCGGGGTGGGGGTCGGCAATCACATGCCAGTGGTGGGCGGAGTCAAAGGCGAAAGTGGGTGGAGCAATGAATGTAAATGTTACACACACTCCTCTCTGTCCTCCAGGCAAACCAGAGGCATTACCAGAGTTCCAGGGCACATTCCAGAGAGGCAAAAACACTCGAGCAGGGCTGGTGAGGGGTGAGGTCTGGGAAGCTTGGCTGTGGAGATTCCCAAGGGAGAGAGAGAGAGAGTGGTGTAGCATGGGGCAGTGGTGTAGCATGGGTTGCCAGTCCCCAGGGCTGCGTGGAGGGAAACGGACGGAGTACGCAGGTGCATTCAACTACCAAACGGCGTCCACATCACCCAGGAGACTATAGCTGCAGAGATAAGAAAAGTCATTCCGTTGTCTGGAGAGGTCACGTCCTAGTTCACATGAAGCAGCTGTTTTCAACAGAGCCCAGCTATGGAAGTGCGCAGCTGTAGTAAGGCAGACCCAGGTGTTGAAATTTTATGTGTCTAGCAATTTCATGCCTAGGGCAACTGCCCCTGTGGCCCTCCCCATGCTATGCCACTGAGCGGGGGGGGGGCTGTATTCAGTCCCTGGGTTTGATGTTCTTCACACCTGACCCAACCAATTTCTCTCTGTATCTAGTGCAGATGCTTCTCTCCTCCTTTTGACTCAACGATACCAGCGACTTTCTCAAAGTCTGTGTTCCTGTGAGCCTGTAGAAATCAATGGATGTGCAGTTGGTTGTAAGTCCGGATCTTGTTGTTTTCAGTCAATGTCCCTGAGCTGCAGATTCGCCTCCCCCTTTTCCATGGTCTAATAGCCAAAATCTGTTGACCTTCAGGGCACAAGGCAGTGCCCATCTGTCCAACCAGACTTGTGCCTCAGGTCCGCATTGTGGGTTCTTATGGTTCTGATCAGAGTTTTCACTCCAGGGCTGAGTTTACTTGGTTGGACACTGGCCATTGGACTGTCACTTTTCAGATATCACAAGCATGTGCCTGAAAATGGTTCTGATGGGTGCATTCAACTAAACGACTGATTCATTATGCAAAAACAAATCAAACAAAAAGTGGCACTGGAACGATTCAATTCAGATTCATTATT